ATCAATCTTTGGAGTATTTTGACTGACAGGTGTCAGGACTGATGCCAGTTTAACCAGCTGTGGTGAAAACTGCTGCGTATCTGTCCACAGCATACGGGGGTGATGTTAGTCAGGAAGTCAGTCAGTTGGCGTCCTCCCACATGTGACCCCAGGTCATGTTTGGTGCTCTTGACATGGACGAGGAAAGGCAGAGTCTTTATCAGTGTGGGTGAAAGACCCAGAACTACATGTGAGCGGGTTAATAATATCATGGTGAGCAGTTTCAGACGTGAACACGTCCTACAAGAAGAGAAAATGGACCAACACTGAGATATTTAGTTCTGGATATTATCGAAGGTGTCTGATCAAACTTATTTCACAGTCAAGTTGACATAACCATGAGCAGAACAGCTGACAGGCGGGGCGTGTCCTGCTCTGGGCCTCTCTGCTCCATTGGTCAGTGGTGATGGCGCCCTGCTGGCACTGGGTGTGTAGCGCTGAGAGTGTCGGGGTCTCGGTACCTCATTAAACATCGGGGGGAAACATGATCCCGCCCTTGAGACACGGGGTAAGCGGCCTGTCCACACACTCTACACACCCACTATGACTCTGAATGTGTGTGTGGTTCGGTGGTGAGGGGCGGGGCCATCTGTAACGCTGCTGTGCAGTCTCTGATTAGTTCATCTTCTGTGTGTCAGAGGGATGAAAACACCTGCCAGTTAATGATGAGGACCCTCATCTGGGCAGAGAGCAGTCTGCTAAATTGAGCAGAAGAGGAGATGATGGGCAGATGAGGGGGAAAAAACACTGTGGGTCTGCATGAGTGGATTTATCCATTTATGAAAAACAAAAGGAGAACCAGGAACAAAGAACGGGTCTGATGATCCTGTTTATTCAGAGAGACGTCCCCACATAAACAACGCTCATATCTGAAGAGCTTCTTATTCTGGATCTCTCGTGTGTTCACTCCTTCAGTTCTGGGCTGGTCTCTTTCAGTCCTTTGTTCCTGAATGTGTCTGTTAGGATACTGTACTTGGAAACATCTGCTGCTTGACTTTATTTAAATGAGATCCGTGTTCTTTACTGGTCTCTGGCCAAGCCGTAGTTTATGCTAACTCTAATTAAAACGGAACTTAACGGCCAATTAGCCTCCGAACAGCTTTGGAGACCGGGGACCAGCTGCAGACACACACACACACACACACACACACACACACACACACACACACACACACACACACAATAGTGTCAAAGCACCTGCATTGGTCCTTATTTGTGCCGCACAAACACAGATATCAGGTATATGAGGAGGAGCTGCAGACGAATAAAACACACTGAACCAAATTTAACAGATTTACAAAAGCTCGTCTTTGATAACATGAAGCTGCATCCATCTCTCATCTCATCCAAAAAAAGACCATTCAAACACAAAGACAGTTTCAACAACACCAGCTCAGGACATGAGGGGACTTTCTCCAGACTTTGGTGTTTGAAGGACAGACAGGAAGGGTGACAGAGGGACTGACCATATAAGGACATGGAAGTCTGATCAGTGACAGGCCGTCAGACCCTGATGATGTTTTATCTGTCAGTCCTTGTAGAACCGAACACTCGTGGCGAATGTTGCTTCATGATGTTATTTGCGGAGCGTGTGTGTGTGTGTGTGTGTGTGTGTGTGTGTGTGTGTGTGTGTGTGTGTGTGTGTGTGTGTGTGTGTGTGTGTGTGTGTGTGTGTGTGTGTGTGTGTGGGCTTTAAGGGGTTGGACCGTTACTCAGTTGTCAGTTGCTTATTTGTCCTTTAAATAGCTTAACAGTAACAGTGAGGCGAGAAATTCAATTAAGACAAAAGCTTCATGTTCAAATAGGACTAAACACCAACACTGACTCTTCTCTGCTCTCCTGTGAACTAAGAAGTCATCAACGGTCCATCAACAGGAGTGAAAACAGCTCCAGAGGGTTCCCAAGACTTCAGAGTCCTGGACTAAAGACTCTGGGAGACCTGTATTCAGGTTTTATACTGTTCAAGTGTCTAATGAGGATCAGAGACTCCTAGGACCCCCTGCTGTCATTATTATCATTATTATTATAATTATTAAGTAAAGAAATCTGCGGTTTGTATCAGCACACTTCAGGTCCATTATTTTGGTCTTCTTCTGTGAAACTTCAGGTCTTCTCATGTGACGGACGCCAGGAGCTCAAATATAGAGGAGGATCATGTTAAACAAAGCAGGGAGATTATGTATTTAAATGAACTGTAGTGATGCACACTCGCTGTTCTGATTTGAATACCAGTCAGAGTAAATATATTCAAAATACAACATTCAAATGTTGTTTTCAGAACCCGAGTGTACGGCTCAGTTCTGCTGATATATGTCAGTGTATCTCTGACCCCGTCATGGTTTAACACAGACTGAGAGACGTGTTTTAAAACAGGTGAAAGTCTATAAATCAGTGAATTCAAATAAATCAATTAAATATCAAATAAAATTAAAATTAAATCATGAAACAAATATTTGGGTCTAACAGGAAAGGTGAACATGGACAGGAATATTCAGTGGGTTTGTGGGTTTTTTCATTTATAAACAGGTTTGATCCATAAAAACATCTTTCAGCGCGAGGACGTCTCAACGGTCTCTCACTACATACAAAACTGTCTGTTAGAGGTCAATGACAGTTTTTCAGAGGCTGATAATGATCCAATATAACGGCCCATATATTTATAATGCAGATATCACACTGCGCTGGTTTGATTCATTATTTAAATGATTCTAATGAATTTATAACGTAATTTCTGAGTTTTAAAAAAATATAATTAAAATGACAAAAATGGACAAACTGAATGAAATCCTTTTAAAGAAGCTCCATCAGTTTAGTTTCATTATAGTTTTCATCAGTTTGATTTCTCTGTAAAAACAGACTGTCGTGTTGGAGAGCTCACATGAACTCTTTCGTTGACGTGGAGCTCCATGGATGTGAGGATTCTTCAGACAGACCTGAGTGTGTTTGACATGAGGATGATCAATGTTAAACCACAAAGCCTGGTCCAGATGGTCCGACACGAGGATTAAGATCCATTTATGTTGAAGGTTCAAACAATCTGCCTCTAAAACTGGTGTTTTAGTCTTTTGACAGTCTCCCCTATGAAACAGGGATTAACTGCCTTTACTTAAAGACTGATGCTAAGATGATTAGTTTTCATTCAGAGGACGAGGACGAAGGTCAAGAGGGGAAAAAAAAAACAGATTTCTTAGTTTTACTATCAAGATGGGGACAGACGGGTTTTTCACTCCTCGGCCTGTTTTTGATCGTGTGCCTTAAGAATTTAATCTAAAATAACTCTGACAGAGGTCTGAGTGTGACTCAAATTCAACAAAACTTGGAGTTTTACTGGGCGGCATGTGGAGGACTTTACAAACGGAGAGCTTTGAGTTTCAGCTCTGAGCAGCCGTATGTTTCTCCATTCGGCTCTTTTATTTTCTTTGTTCAAACTCGTCTCTGATCATTTACACCACTTCACGGTGAAGTTAATATTCAGCTGCTGCTCTGTTCCAGATTTTAACCAACAACAACAAGGACAAAGTTTCACTGGAAAGGTTGTTTTTGTAGGTCATCATCATGTTTCAACCGGTAAATCAGAAAACCTTCGAAATCTTGAATGAATTCTGTTGCTCATCTGTGAGAAAACACGTCAGCGGTCCAGGAAACACACGGACACTGGGGAGAGAGAACCAACTGAGGAGAAAGGGATAAAAAAGGGATAAAACCGCCTGAAACGGCGTCATGTCAGCCGTGTACAGCTGGCTGGAGAGGAAAGCCAAGGAGGTGGCGTTTGTCTGCAGGGAGTGTGTCTGCGCGGGGACGAGGGCGCTCCGGCTCTTTCACTCGTCTCTCTGAGGAGTTCTGCTGCAGCCTGGGGACACAGCGGGCTAATTGACGAGTGTGAGGCTTTGTTTTATCCTGGCAGACACACAGAAATGTTGACTTAATGTTGCCAGAGGACAGATGGCGTGCCGCTGTGCTGAATGGGCAGCAGAAAGCAGCAGACTGACTCGGGACAAAGAGCCAGTGTCCCTCTGATCTCAGCCTCCTTAATGACTCGGTCCAAAATGATCGTCCTCATAAGAGTTTTTTTAACAGACAGATGTATATTCCAGCCCTAAACCAAGAGGACATTTCAGAAATGTCCCAAAATCAGAGTCAGGGTCTCAGGGGCGAACATGAGGGGGTCTGCTGACACTGACTGACTCATGACCCCCTCAGAGGGTCTTTTTCATCCTTCTTCAAAAACAGTCATGATTTGTTACGACTGACCTTAAAAAAATATATCTTTAAAGTTTCAGTTAAAACTAACTTCACTTTAATTATCTGTTGGAGGTGAACAACAACAGTGTGGTGACGGTGGAGACCACAGAGTCAGAGCTGCAGATGAACGGTTGTTTTTGGAGTTGATGATGTTTAAAGCAGCAGGAGAAAACGTTAGAAACCCTCAATAACAGCTGACTGAAGAAACTCTGAGTCTGTTCATGTCCACTTTCTTTAGCTGCTCTGATAATAAAGGGAAAACTGCAGACTCTTCACAGGTGTCAGAAATATCTGCTCTTTGTTTTAGTCGAGACCGTTTTCATCAACACGGGGTGGAGGCCGACTTACATGTGTGGACTCAGCTCGTAGAAGTTCCTGTTGCGATACTCCTCCACCTTATCTGGGGTGAAGATGGGCAGGGACCTGTAGGGGTTCATGGAGATCACCACACTGCCGATGTAAGTCTGAGGAGGAGGAGGAGGAGAGGAAACAAGCGTTAGTGTAAAAACCATGGACTGCTGAGAAACAGACTCTGTTCTCTCTCCTCTCGCTCCACTCAGGTGTTAACCGTCATGTTGCAGAGGGAGGAATTTCGCCGCAGTCAGCTGTTCTCTGCTCAGTGCTCAGAATGCATTGTTGAGGCGTGCAGCGCCCGGAGTCAGACGGAGGAAAGTTTATGGTGGCGGTAAACTCCAGACTCTACAGAGGTCAAGGTTCGTCTGTCAGAGGGGGTCAGTCAGTGTCAGAACATGTGAAAGTCTGAATCAGTGTGAATCTTCTTCTCTGCTGCAGCTCCTGAAACATGAACACAGATTAAAACCACACAGGAGCCGTGGGCTGACATGTTTTAGAGGTCGTCCACCTTTATGTAACATCAGCAGATAACACTAGATCTCTGAGAGCAGATGTAAGCAGCCATCATCTTCCTCCTCCTCCTCCTCCTCCTCCTACACTCCAAACAAAGCCCTGATCACACTCTCAAACATCAACCTGAAACATTGCTCTGCTCTCCATGGTAATGGCTGTTGCGTAACCCACTCTGACAGGAGTGGAGCACGGCCTTCCCTGTGGCAACACCACAACCTCCCACAGCCTCTCGTTCAACAGCCCAACAACAGGCAGAACGAGGCCTTTTCAAGTGTGGAGGAGGAGGGAGAGTGTAAACAGCCATCACGTGGAAATGAGAGGCAGCAGAATCAAAACAGACAAACACACCATCAGGAGGCTGTTCACATGGATGAGGTCGGAGCGCTGAAAACAACCGGCTCCTTGGACGACAACTGTGACACAACAAACAACTTTAACCACTAATTCAAAAGACACAAGTAATCCTGATGTACAGTCATCCTTCCTTCGGTCAAGAAGCAGCTGGAGTCCATTATTAATTAAAAAAAAACAGGAAACGAGTGAAACTTGCTCCATGTTTCCGTCTCCTCTTACTTTCTCGGACCCGCCCACAACAACAACGAGCAGAGGACTCCTCCCTCAGAGACGGTTGGACAGGATACCAGTGATATAAACTCTGCTTATTAGCAGAGATTGATAATGTACACGACCACTGACCACAGTGTTTTCTTTTTATTTCTTCACCTTCTCTGAGTGAAAATCCTCTTTAATGTCCACTAAAAACTCCTTCATCCACTCTCATCCACGCTCTTTCTCAGGTTTACCTTCTGGATCTTCCTCATCATTAACTCCTGATGTGATATTGGTCAGTGATGGTCATGAAAGCTTGTTTAGTGCAGCTCTTTGGTTTTGACACGAGGATTTTAGAAGTAAAAACAGACAGAGTGACTGTTTTATAAAAAACTGATATGTTGGTATTTCTGTCATGCAGAGCAGTTTCCAAAGACTCACAGAAATGAATTCCCCAGTCCTCCAAACTGACATTTAAATTCCAACCAGCTGGAAAGGTCAGAAAGGTCAGAGAAACGTCGAAAATTTAGAGACCTGGTGGCTAAAGATGGATGCAGATACAGAAAGTGAAGCGGGTTTTCAGTGAGGCTCCAGTTTTCTTCCTTCAGTCCTGCTGGAAGGTTTCCGTCTCCAGGCCTGTTCATCGTTTCTCTGGCTGAGTTCAGCAGGAACATTCAACTTTCTACTTTTACTATTTACTGACTGAAAATACTGCAACAACCAGCATGCTGTGAATATTTCATGTATTTATCGATTTGTTTTGACGACTAAACTCCATCTATTGTTACATCTGAAGAGGACAGAGTTATATCACTGCTGCAGCTGCTGTTACTCAGGACCCCGGATCAGGGTGGGGGGCTCGGATATGACTTCTTCATCACAACATATTCAACGCCTGAAATAACAGAGACAAGAACAAATGAGCGCCTCCCTCTTACTTCCATTCATTCATTCATTCATTCATTCATTCACTCTCTGCTCAGAGGCTGAGCGAGTCGACAGCAGACGCAGATTTTCGTTCTCTTTGATTCTCCAGAGTTATTGGAAACATGATGCCCTGTCCCTCTGGAAACAAAGCCATGTTTCTTCTCCTCTGAGCTGTCATCTGAGAGTTCGGGGTGGGGGTTGGGGCCATTTGTAGTGACTGATACCACATGAGGGGAAAATGCATTTGCATGCGAGGATTGTACACCACAGATTTATTGGATAAGTACAGGCCTCAGCGCCGTCTCTGGTCCTCACTCTTGAGGTGACGTCAACGTTTGCCACCAAAAATGCTTCCATTATAAACTCCAACTCATGTGAGCAACCTTCTAAAAATACAACCTTTCTTCACTCACAAGGTAACCTCAGAAATATGAGGATTCTGTGCCAGCACAATGGAAACATCACTTGGAAGGGCGTGCGCTTGAAAAAGGCGAGACTTGGCAGGAGTAACCAGTCTAACAACCTTTGGGTCAGCACCACGGGAAAGAAGACGCTCAGAGTTTAGAGACTCAAACTGAAAACTGAGGCCATCAGATCTGCAAACACGGTTCCTCACAAGGATGTGGGCTGCATGAGGTGACATCATGCTTTGGACCCTGAACAGTAACCACAGCAGAGCAGTAATCATCATGGCTGACGTGAAGATCAGAGGAAACACAGAGTGACCGAGTACAGAGCCCTGATGTGGGGATGATACAGACAGATACAGAGCTGATCCCCAAGTCCCTCCTTGTCCCTGAGCTCTGGATTTCATGCCTCATTTGGAGGCATCATCTACATTCCTCAGAGATCTGATTTATTGATTGGCTGGTTACTGCGGTCCCTGAATCTGTGCCACTCGAACAGCCAAGAGCAAAGTGACTGTGAGAGAGGAGAAACAGTAGAGATACGAAGAGTATCATCACGTTTCCTTCAGGAGGTCTAAGAGAGTAGAACCCAACAGAGAAGTCTCATTTCAAACAGTCCTGCACGCTGACAGCACCATCTCTGAAAATCAAACAGTAGACTTACGTAGATCTCGTTGTGGTCAAAGCGGTCCCTCAGGTTGTCCAGGAATGAGTCTTCAGAAAGGGGCTCTAGGAGGACCATGTCACCAACCCCAATCATGTTGTCCAGAAGTGATGTTTTCACCTCCATGTTGGCTGTGGGTGTCGCCCCTGTACGGAAATAAAAAGGAAGGAAAAAAAAAACATTAAAGAAAGTTTATACTGAGGAGGTTTTGACCACTGGGGGCGCTGTGGAGCCGTGTTTTCTCTACATGTAATCAACCCTGTCACTGGTTTTACACTGTTGTGCTGACAGGAGAGATGGTGACCGTTAAACAATGACTCGGCAAAGTCAGCGAGAATAAAGACTGCAAGCATGCAAACGTGGAAGAGCCGTATTAATATAGATGTAACCATATTAATATAGATGTAACTGTATTAATATAGATGTAACCATATTAATATAGATGTAACCGTATTAATATAGATGTAACCATATTAATATAGATGTAACTGTATTAATATAGATGTAACCATATTAATATAGATGTAACCATATTAATATAGATGTAACCATATTAATACAGATGTAACCATATTAATATAGATGTAACCATATTAATACAGATGTAACCATATTAATATAGATGTAACCATATTAATATAGATGTAACCATATTAATATAGATGTAACCATATTAATACAGATGTAACCATATTAATATAGATGTAACCATATTAATATAGATGTAGCCGTATTAATATAGATGTAACCGTATTAATACAGATGTAACCATATTAATATAGATGTAACCGTATTAATATAGATGTAACCATATTAATAAAGATGTAGCCGTATTAATGTAGATGTAACCATATTAATATAGATGTAACCGTATTAATACAGATGTAACCATATTAATATAGATGTAGCCGTATTAATATAGATGTAACCATATTAATATAGATGTAACCGTATTAATACAGATGTAACCATATTAATATAGATGTAGCCGTATTAATATAGATGTAACCATATTAATACAGATGTAACCATATTAATATAGATGTAACCGTATTAATATAGATGTAACCATATTAATAAAGATGTAGCCGTATTAATATAGATGTAACCATATTAATATAGATGTAACCGTATTAATACAGATGTAACCATATTAATATAGATGTAGCCGTATTAATATAGATGTAACCATATTAATATAGATGTAGCCGTATTAATATAGATGTAACCATATTAATATAGATGTAGCCGTATTAATACAGATGTAACCATATTAATATAGATGTAGCCGTATTAATATAGATGTATCCGTATTAATATACATGTTCCTTAAAGACCGGATCATGTCAGGATCTGCTGTTTCATTATGATGAGGAACCGTTTGATTTCACCTATTAGACCCTCGTTTTCGGTTTGTTCTCCAGCACATGTGAAGTCCAAGAGGCATTCTCTGTTCAGAAAATAAACAGTCCTAAACTTAGCCGTTCAAATAAACTCCTGGGTCCACATGTTTGTACAGCAGTGGTCAGACTCCAGGGGGAGCGGGGCCCTTTGATTGGCTGTTCGAGCTTTTTCCCCCTCAGGCAGTTACATAAGTGGAGAACTTTGCCCCTGACCTCGGAGCGTCTGCTCATCTGGAATCTGCTCCTGTTTAAGAGCTGCTTATCAATCAAAGACCGAGCGCCACAATCAGCCGACTGCTTCACACTTTCCCGAGGGTTTTGCTCGCTCGGTGCAGCGCTATAATATTCAGGGCCGATAAAGGATCTGGGCTGGAGCGGACCATGACAAAGACCCTGCTGGGGGTGGCAGTTTTTCAGCCCAGTGTTGCCTCCTATCTCCTTTGGGACAGTAATCCCAGCGCTATAGTTCCCGGATAAAAGAGGGGCCTGGGATACATTCAGGGCCTTGAATCAGGGCTTTGCTGTGCTAAAAACCCACTGTCATTGTGTGCTGTTGTGACAGACAGATGAGGCCGTGTAATTATCTATTGTTCCCTGCTCCAGGAGTGTAGATGTCTCATTTGTAGAACCACAGGCAGACGCTGGTCGGTACAGAATAAAAAATACAGCACAGCTGATTTTTAAAAGCTCATCCATGTTTCAGAGGATAGAAATGAAGAGAGACCAGAATTAACTCGACAACTCAGAAACCTCGGCCTCACGAAAAAAAGATCACGATATATTTAGTCTTATCGTCCGATCTCGATTATTATCACGATTTTTTTTAACTGCCTGTTTTAAAGCATCTGAACTAAAAACTAAAGAAACTAAAGATTAGTTCAACATTTTAATAACATCACATTAACATAACATTAAACAAATTAAATAAGATACACTTAGAAAAATATAAAAACCATTTTAAGAGTTCAACAGAAGTAGATAAATATTAAATAACACAGGGAACTAGTTTACAGTCCTGAGTGTTTCTGCAGGTATAATAGACCCAAAATAAACAGATGTCCCCTCAGAGATATAAAGACACCTTAAAACATCAGATGATGTAAACGTAGATGATATAATTGATCGCTGCTTTGGTTTGTTTTCCACATAATCATCCAGGAAGTTTTTCAAACGACCTCACAGATCTGTTGTGTTGCCTGTTTTTGAGGCACAGATCGCCGACATACCTTACACATCGGCTTAATGGCTCTACGTCACTTTGGAGACACCTGAACCACCGACACACGACTACAGAAATAACTTCTCAACAAAAACATCTTTAGAGAATAACTCAAAGTCACGGCTCACATCTATTCTGCTGCCCTCAGCGCCGAGTTTAGCTCCACGTTCAGTTTCCTGTTTACTGACAAACTTACAGAAGTGAGCAGGAAAAGCTCGACTCTGATTGGCTGTTGTGACGCACACTTCCACCATGTTTGATGGAGTAAATACGCTCTCAGCTGATCACCGTGATCGAACTGAAATTTATCACGATCATCGATCACGATCACATAATCGCCCAGACCTTCATCAACTTATCCGACAGTTTCAGTCTGAATGACCTGAACACAAACAGCTGACTCGTCACTCACAGACGTCGTACGTTGTTGATATTTCAGGAAGAACAAACGGATCGAAGGACAAACAGGAGAACTCATCACTCCGTCTTTGATGCAGAACTCTTTCAGCCGTCACATCGACTTTTAGCACCAACATAACAGCAGCAGGACGTTCCTGAAGAAATGATCTCCTGTGTAGACCTCCACTTTACCGTTTCCCCGGCTTCTGTTCCCCTGCAGGGCACCATGTTATTGGCCCATAAAGAAGTCTCTCGGGTCTTGGTAGGAGGCAACACTCCAGCTCCAAAGTGGCTCACGCTCACGCTCCGAGTGAAAGGTGGGCCAAGACAGAGAGGAGAGACGGTCGAAAAATGTGAAATGTTCTTTCGCTTTAGGAAAAAAAAGGGTTCGCAGCTGTAAATGAGGTTTTCCAAGACCTCCACCAGCACTAAAAACAGAACCAACAGAACCAACAGAACCAACAGAACCGAAAACCATGAGTAAGAGTCCAGGATTAGAACCGTGGGCTGATCCTGAGTATCAGCAAGTATCCAAGTCAGTGTTCCAGTCTGACAGCACAGTTCCTCGTCCGACCCAAACACTGACCTTTAACTCAGACACAGAAAGGATAAATATTATGTGTTTGCCAACCGCTACGGCTTCACAGCAGAGAAGAAGAACAAGTTTAGATGAGTCATCATGGGGGAAAAGAGACATCAGACACCAACTGAACATGGATCAGAGTTTATCAGAGTTTTTGTATTTTCTTGGTGAAGTTAGAGCGGTCTGTGAAGATACGGAGGACTGGAGACTCAGCGTGGGCTCATGTTAGCAGGGCGTGGTACCGCTGTCCTCCGGCCATGTTCTGGTTAGCTGTCTTATCTACTCTGGTTAAAATTGTAACCTCCAACGGTTCATGAGAAGAAGAAGAATATGCGTTTGTTTGAAACCCGTTTCTATAACATTGGGAGTGTTTATCAGAGCAAAATCAAGAGATGCAAACTAGTGCAGCGACAAATCTGCTGCAAAGACACCAACAGCTCCATCCTGGTAAACGTATGAAGCAGGGCGGTGTGGGGAAAGGTTTTAACGTTAACTTAATACTGCGGTATACTCTCTGATGGTATTCTGCCAAAACACTTGCAGTGATGTCTCGTCTCCAGCAGCTGCTCTGGATGTCTGAAGCGAGTTTTAAATCAAGTTATTTCCTTTTTAATGTCGTCGCTGATTCTCCTGAGGGATGAAACAGATACACCTGCTCTGTGATCCTCCACCATATGCTGCTCGCTGCAGGGGCTTCATAAAGCTCCTTCTTTCCAACAACATTCCAGTATTCGACAGTGAAACTCAGCAAAGAGACGCATTTTCATTTAACTACAGAAACGGAGAGAGAAACAGTCTGAATCCTACAATATCGTACATTTAAAAACTCCACCACTGGTGCACGCCGTCAGGTTTCCAGACACTGTAGGTTGTGGCACGGTAACCAATCAATGACAATGACGTGACTGTAGGGCAATCATTCACCTCAAAAACTCTCTGTCTGGAAGGAAGTGCAACACGAAGGTTCAGGATCTGGTCATCAGACCCGAGTTTTAAAGGACCTTGTCTAGACCTCAGAGAGAGCAGATGTTCAATTCTCTGTGTGACCCAGGGGAGAACATCTAGATGTGTCCACATGACCTGAGAGCCTGTCTGACCACGGCACCAACATACTGTACCTGTCTGCAGCCTCAACACCAGATACCCTCAGCTCCTCTAACCCACTACCCCAGATCTGGAGCTGGTTTCTCGGCAGTCAGTGACACAGTCTCATTAATGAGAGTCTGTGCCTGCTGTTCACTGTTAACTGAATCCAGAGAGAGAGAAAACCTGACAGCCTTGATTAAACCCAGGGGATTATCTTCACTGCTGAGTCGCAGAGACATGAGTCAGTCCGAGTCAGTCTGTCCCGTAATAAAAACATCATTTCAACAAAAAAAGTGACGGTTTTACTCGACCTTTTTCTAAATTAAGACGCTGTACTGGAATAAAATAACAACCGCTGCAGGAACCTTTGAGGAATCACAGAGACTGGATTAAATCTGTCACTCCATCAATCTCTCTGATGCATTTGCATTGATTAAATCTCCCTGATGCATGATAGAAGGTAAGCACCACCAGGTTTAGCTGCTTTTAATCTCAAACCTAAATCTCAGTGATGTTGCAAAATGTGATCTGGCTGCACCCAGAGTGAGAGTCGTGTCCACGCCATGGCAGATGAGGGTATAACGTCGCTGACCCTTAGCGTCAGAAAAACATCCTTTTAATCAATATTCTGATTTATAAAGTTGAACCGTGCGTTATGCTCGGACCGGGGTTAGAGATCGTCTGTGTCAGACTGTCTGCCCTAATACATCTGAGATATCAGCAATTTAGACCGAACATAATACCTGCTGTGGCACTAATCTGCTCGAACCCCCTCTCCTTGGTGTCACGCAACGTGCGCTGAGCTGGCACAGTGGAGCAGAGCGTTTTCAAACATGACTGAGTCACTGTCTGATTCCACATATAACACACAGTACAAGTCACTGAATAACATCTGAAACCAGAGCTTCATCTATAATTCCCACAGATTAAAAAGCTGTTTTTAGGCAAATGAAGTTGCTGAACATAGAAACGAACACGATAGAGATTTGATCATCAAAAGCCTGAGAGTGATGTGGGGGCTGCGCTCGGGATTTCAGTCCATGTCACAAACAATATTACGAGACATGCTTTCCTCTGCCACTCTGACTTTGACCTAGATTTCGCAGCCAGGTCAGGCTCTGAGGGAAGAAGTGACGGCAAAAAGAAACATTAAATGTGCATTTATTATTCACAGGCCGAGGCTGCGGCGCTGCTCCGTCCTGTTCTTCAGCACAGAGAGGAGTCAACAGCCACACGAGCAAACCCATCAAACACAGGACGCTGGGCCAATACACCAGCTGTTATTTGTTTTACATATTTGTTTTTGCATGGACTAAATGAAAGGAGCAGCCTGGAGTGGCCATCAATTTTCAAATGGTCAATATCATCATTGCAATCAGCAGAGCCAGCTTGTCATGACATGTGGTCTGTGAGAAGGCAAATGGGTATTGTGTGAGCCCTGATGACAGACGATTGGCGTCATTCTACCTTAGCAGTGGTTGTTTGAGAACACAGAGGCGTCCGTGTGCAAACACATGATAATAAAAGTCTTTTATGCAGCGCAGTAGTCGATTCCCAACAGATCACGCTGGCCTTGCCACGGGGCAGAGGAGTCACAACACCAGGCTGCTGGCACTGATGGAGATTAAAGCCCTCCCTAATGGAGCAGCAGCGGGGTGTGGGGCTGTGCCAGAGAGCAGACCAGGACAGACCAGCAGAGCGGTTTAGAGGAGAGTAAAGGGGGGAGCAGCTGCCTGAGAAAGTGACCCACGCTTCAGGAAATACAGAGTTCCCAAAAGGTAAAGATGAGTGGAAAAACCCCAGAATAACTCCAAACTCGGAGCGTGTCGGCTCTCTGTTGATCTCTGCACACATTTGCATGTTGAAGAGAGTCGTCATGCCAAACAACAACGCCGCCAGGTTTAATCATAAACCCCAAACCCAAACAAACACAGAGCTGTATTTACAATACGCAAGAGCAGAGACAGGCTGATCTGCTCAGAACATCAGCATACAGCTGGAAATTTACTGACAAAGGAGCAGCCGACCATTAATCCACCGAGCACACGAGAAAACTTAAAGAGAAAACGAGGCCTGAGGGGAATGAAGGTCTGATATTTTCACTGTGAGGGTCCTCATTAACTCTCCTCTTAAACAGCTTCTTACTGTAAACAGTTTCTCACTGAGCTCACTGAACTACTGGAACAGCTCAGATCAGAGACATCATGAATCTCTGCTCCTCATCAGTGAGTCTGACTGACAAACTGTATAGATGTAGTTTTTTAGATACGGTGACACTTCAGTCAGATTCTGTTTCAGCTGACCCCGGTTCAAAACGCCTGATTGTTATTTACTGTTACTTGACAGTCACTGTAGCTATGAGTCAGGTGAACACACACCTGTTAAAGGAGGTTGCTAAGCAACAATAATCTATCAGGCTGGTTACCTGAAAATGGTGAACTGAGGTTCACAGTTTGTCGCCCAGCACTAAGTGACCAAGAGTTAGTTACAGCTGACTTTAGATAAGATATAAAACAATGTTAGGTTCTTTGTGAATATAAAAAAAAACTTTGATTAAAATGATTTATTTTTGTTTTGTTTGATTTTAAGAGATTCTTGAATAAATCATTGAATTAAATACTAACAGGACAAGTTTTTATTTTTTTATTTTGGTTAATTAATTGATATATTAATCGGTTAGTAAAAAACTTTATCGATAGATTAATCGATAAAAACATAATCGTCAGGTGCAGCCCTAATTCTTTGTGTACCAGTATGGAATATCCATGTTGTTCTCAGACAGAAACACGTTTAAATGAAATCTGGAATATTTATGTATATTTATGCTGAGGGAAATATCAAACCCCATTATTCTCCTGATCCTAACAGGGTACACTGTCAAACATTCATCAATCACCTCTATCATCGACGAGGATGTGGATGTTTCCTCACTAATGAGGCTGTTTGCAGTGTTTACAGACGGGAGTTTTTTAATTGGCCTTATGGGCCCCGATATCAGCTGATCTCCATTCATTCAAAACGCCATTATGTGGCCCAACCATCAGTCCCTCTCTCTTCAGTGAAATCCATCTTCTTCAGAGGAGATCCTTCTTGGAGGAGTTTAATAACAGCGACAGTCAGAACTACGAAGCTACACCAGCTTCTGCCGTTTTGGACTCTAGCTGTCAGTTCTCCACAAAGGTCAGAACGCTCACTGAACAGACGGGCCCACTTGGTTTTAAAAGTGAAGCAAATGTGGAAAACACTGATTTTTCCTGAAGCCAGCAGCAGAAAGAAAGAGGTGCAATTCTATTAAACCAGAAGAGAAACGAATCTCAGTCATCTCAGTCGGTTCAGTCGCTCATATTTCCCTCCTCATGGTCAGCGCTCTCACTCTGTTCTTGTCCCAGTATTAACTCTGTCATTTATGCTCTCATTTGGTGTGGTGTGAACACACGTCATTGATTTTCTTACGCAGATGTTCTGACTCGTCCTGAGTTTATTCAAAAACACTCCGACATAAACAGAAAGAAAAAAATCTATTGTTTAGACTTATCTAAACAATAGATCTGATATTGATATATTGATATCAGCCAAAAAACGAATAGCGGCCTACAAAGGTCTGCATCGAAAACTGCCGATATCAGCACTCCGATACCAACAGTCCATTCCAGGCTCTGATCCAGAACCTCTGTCTAAGTCCAGCATGCAGAGCCCACCTGATCACAACAACAGTGTACTCAGGTACGAATAAAGAGGCGAGGAGTAGGAGTGATGTCGGCCGTGTGGAAGTATAGTTTTTCATTAAAGTCCGAAAAAGAAAACAGCTGAATGCAAAACTTGTCATGTACAAGTTTGTGCCAATATCGTATCAATATCAGTAAATGCCAAGAATGAAGGCTACGATATCGGTATTGTATCGGAAATAAAAACGTTGTATCAGGACATGGATGTTCTCTTTGGCAGCAATAACAGTGGGTTACAGATATTTGATGGATCTGCTGAAATCAGTGAGTCGAGATAAAAATCCTGTTTTCTCTGAACAAAAAGACATTTTATTTTTTTCTTCTTCAAGGATCTGAACAAAAGTTCAGACATTTAGTTCGAATCCTTTTAGATCTGAATGAACCTCTTTGCCTTGTATAGTAGAGGGTGCTGCTGTTTGAAGTAAACGCCTCTTATAGAGTTTTAGACTCGTATGATCGACACAGTCGGTATCACTGAATAAAAGCCAGAGGGAACCCTGAACAGTTATCATCTCTATCAGTATTACAAGACACAACAGACAGTCTAACACTGGGTTTGGCTCGGGTTTCCAAAGTGAATATAGAAAGCAGCAGTACTGGACCGAACAAAGCAGCAGTGAGCAGAGTTACTACTGTAACTCAGAGGGGTGACCAAGAGTCGGGCTGAAAGTTTGATATTTTGGACTGTGTCGGTTCAGACCCTTTCAACTCTAATTATACGCAGTAAGATAGAATCAGGTTAACTCGAAGCTGAGGCGTTAAAATTCAGTACCATCCTCCAAAGAAGTGACACCTCAAACAGACCTCAGATAAACATCCTCAGATAAACACTGCAAACCCATTTTCTCTCTCAGAAGGCTCTCCATGGTCCAGTCAGAGGGACTGCACATGTGTGACCCTGTCTAATGTGTTGATTCAGAGCTAACACAAGACACACGCCTCACTACACTAAGCTGCACAGGCAGACAAGTGCAAACACCATTCATCCCCGGGGCGCTGGCTCGGGGACTTTGGTCCTCTAGACACACCTCATTAGACCCCCAGCATCTCACCCCAAGGACCAAGGTGTTCATGAAGAGGTTTTTGTCCATTTCAAGAAGCAGCAGCACAACTCACTGTTGGCTGAGAGAGAGCTACTAGAGCGATTCACAGCCCCCCTCACTGCTGCCGTCCAAGTCTGAGCTAAACGGTTGGTACTTTTTCAAGGAGTCCATCTGAAACTCTGAAAGCTTGTACTCACTCCCTCTCACAGTCAGCTTACATCACTGTTTGTTTGATCAGCGCCTGTAATAAAGTTCCCATCTGGTTCCCTCGACTGAGACTCGGGCCAACAGAGGCGGGACATATTTGTGAAAACCGCAAAAGGAAAGACACAATCCTTTAAAAGTAAGAAAGTCATCTGATCCTGCGAGTTCATGAGCAGACGTAGAAGATTCAAAGTTCTGAGTTCAGAGGTGGAGAGACAGAGATCCATCAAAGTTCAACCAAAGAGACAAACTAGCAGCTTTACAACAAACTGTGCAGTACATTTCTATTGATTTCCTGTTCTCTGAAAAACTCTGAATACATCTTTGTCTGCGTGGAAACACTCGGACTTCATGTCTTCAGGCAAAGAAGAGAAAAGGAGGAAAAGTTTAAGTCGAGGTAAAAGACGGAGCAGAATCAGCAGTTTCCACAGCCTTGACTCATGGCTTAGAAACCCAGAACCCTGCCACAAATACAAACTTTTAAACACACACACACACACACACACACACACACACATTATCACATGTACTGACAAACTTTGAGACAAACTACGAGCTGATTTTAACCCCGTGTTTTTGGTCTACTTGTAGTTTCTCCAACACAGCGTTATTTTTCCACCCATCATGTATTCCTGTATAAACTGAATCCCAGCAGAGCAGAAGCAGGTCACCTCTGAGATGTTACTCACAGACTTGAGGAGGTGAATAGTTTTATTCATTCAGTTCCTGCAGTACAGTCACTTATTCCAGTCAGCAGGATGAAAATGTCGGGGGTACTGGAGGGTTAACCCCCCTCTGTCTGTTTACCAGGTCTGAAGGCTGACCTTGGTTTTTTCTCTCTGTCCAAGTGTTTTCAAAGTTTGGATGTAATTTGATTAAAATCAGATGATCTTAAAGTGAAGTTTAGAGTTTTCTGCTGAGGACTGGACATCCACACTTTGTTCAGCTGTGCACGGCTGTTAGTTTAGCAGAAAACACTCTGTGCACAGGAGAAAAGAGGCATATTTAGATATCACTACACCGTGAAAAAAAACACTAGAGTGAACTCTTCAGAGTGGGCTGCAGTGGTTTGACTCTCCTCAAGTACAAAGACGAGGCTCAAAGCTGCAGATGTGGACAATTAACGAGCACGTTTCTCTACATTTGGTTCAGAAGTCTTAGTCTGAGGAGTCCTGGTCCAAACTCACAAAAACCCGGACTCTGCAGATCCACCATCCAAAAAAAATCAAAGATTTTCTTTCTTAAAGAAACTCCCAACCCCCTCCGAGAGCAGAAATGAATGAGTTTGGAGGAAGGCGGTCTGAAACTTCATGAAGTTAACTTTGGAAGACAAACTTGGACAAAGTGTGAAACTACACCGAGTAAAACCAAAACACGAGGAAAGATGTCGTGTTTCACTCTTTTAATCCTTCCACGCGTGTCTGAAAGTGCCTCATTTACCTCTTTATCTCCGACTGAGCTGCTCCCTCTCGTCCCAGATCCTCTTCAGATGATCCCGGAGGTGATTTCCCGGATCGGGAGCTCCTCTAGTCCTTCTCCGCTGTTCCGACACTTTGTCTCGGATCCGCAGTTCTGGATGAGGCCGGATGACGGGACTATCATCCGGATCTGAGCTCTGTGAATGGGACTGTGGATGGACTTGAGAGTGCGGGGTCCGCCGGGCGTTGGGAGTGGCTACAGCGGCGTCTCTGGGCTGGATCAGCGTCTCTGGGCTGGATCAGCGTCCCCTAATCACCTCCGGGGGGGGCTCTGATGCCTTCAAATGTCGTCGGATATATGAGCATTACTCTCCGTGAACTCTGATTATGTTGGGTTTAACAGTCACAGCCTCTCCTATAAAGTCATACAGCACATTTGGATAAACTATAATCCACCAAATAAACGGACCCCTCCTTCCTCAACCTCAGCGTTTCCATGGAGTTCAGGTGGACCAGGTGCTCAGATGTGTTATCCTCAGTGGGAAATATACTTCTATGGCTGAAACAAGTTTGATGAAGTTCGTAAAAAATTGGGACCAAATTCCTTTTTAAATGATTTTAATTGAATTAAACTTTGAAAGGAAAAGTTCTAAGAGAAGAAGGATTTACGAGCCGCACTGAAACGCAGCAGCACCAAAGTTTTCCTTCCTCCTCTGAACGGAGACTCAGTTTATCCGACAGAACAACATCCCCATCCTGTGTCTTCATGCTTCATAGCAGCGACTTGTTGACCTGCTGCTGTTTCCCGAGTCCTGACAGGTCTCCATCAGAGTTATCAGAACTATTTTAGGGTAAAACCACATTTATCTTTTCATTTAGGATACCCGTTTAGTGCGGGGGGTAACTTTAACAAAGATACTTTAATATTGTTTAATATTTCCCCATGTGAAAAAAAACAGTAACGCTTTTTTCTGTTTAAAAACCAAAGTTAGAAGGAAATATAACGTAGAGACTTTGTACAGCATGTTTGTTTTCTGAGTTTTACTCCGTTTGTGAACTGAACCCCCCCCCTCCCCTCCCTCAGAAGTGTACTGACCCACATTAGCTGTGTAACTGCGCATGCTCTGTATGGTTGACGGTTTGCTCTTATCTTAGTGATTCCAGGTGAATTTAGAGGTTAAAGTCTTTATTTCACGGACTGTTTTTGCTCTCAAAGAGGTCTTTGGTGAGTCTCTGTTTCTTTGGCTTCATGGTAGAGTCAGATTTAGTGTTTTCAGGCAGACTGTGACTCTGCGTCACTAGCAAAGACAGCAGTTTTAGCTAGCTCCTCTGTTAGCCGATACAGCTAAAATAACCTAAACGTAAAATAACCGACAGTTTCTGACGTTTTTAATCATTAAATCACTTTAATCATGTCGATATTCTGGAAAAGAACGAAGTTATAGTCACAGTCGGGAGATTAATGTGACTGTATAACAGAGGAGAAAGATTAGAGAGTTAAAAACGGTTCCGTTAGCTTCTGTTGTTAGCCTCCTTTAAGATAACTTTCACTTTAAATCAGCAGGAACTTAGATGACTTCAGTGTTTATAACCTCCTTTAAACTGGAACTTAACAGACTATATAAACTATTCTACTACATCAACTATGTGACATTAATCTGATGTAGTTTATAACCTTTAAACTGGAACTAACCAGTCTGCTACAGTTCAGTGTTTATGAAACAACTTTAACATTAACTATATGACATTAGTTTGCTGTACTTCAGTCTTTATTTCCTCCTTTTAACTGGAACTTCAACATTAATTTCCATTAAAGTTGATGACATTATTCCTCGAACCCTGTACCTGCTCATTTCCTTTTAAAACCCCAGAGAGACAGAAAAACTAAAGTGTTTCTGAGGACCCTGGTCTGTGAAGAACCTCAGGTCCTCTTCTTGGTCTGGTCTGGTCCTGGTTCTTTGTCAATAAAGGATTAAAACTGTTTTAATGACCCTCACTGAAGACTGAAGCTGATCTACTGTTACCAGAGTTACCTTCTCTGATGGTTTGATGATCAAGTCTTCTCTGTTTGACTCTCCTTCTCCTTCTTCTTCTTCTTCTCTTTTTCTCTCAGAGTGATTTTTATGAGTAATCAAAGGCAGCAGAAGCCAACGCTAACAGGCCAGCGTTTCAAAACCCGAAAAAGAGGTGAGAAACTTTCCATTTGAGAGACAAATGTACTTCTGCATCATTAGATACCTAATGCTGATCTGACAGACATCCATGTCCTCCTCATGTCTGTTCATTCATCCTTTTTTCTTCACTCTTCATGAACAGTTGAAAACACCAGTTTGCATATTTCTGCCAAAGCTGCTCTAAAAAAATCAGTTTGAGGTTGTTTGTCACTCGTATCAGTCATTGACTCATTTGGACAGGTCTGTAAGTTAGTAGGTAGCAGGTATTAACAATAATACATTTTGTCTTGTAAACAGATGAAAAGGAGAGGTTTGACCCCTCCCAGTTTCAGGAAAGTATCATCCAAGGTCTGAATCAAACTGGCACGGATCTGGAAGCTGTCGCAAAGTTCCTGGATGCCTCTGGTGCCAAGCTCGACTACCGACGCTATGCTGAAACTCTGTTTGACATCCTCGTGGCCGGAGGAATGCTGGGTAATAGAAACACCTCTCTGTTTTTTAACCTTTACTAAAGGACGTGCTGAAGGAAGTGTGTTTTTCAGTATTAGCTGTATGACCTGTAAAATATTGAATACTCAGCTTCCTTTACCATAGACATAAATTCATGCAAAGTCAGTTCTCTCATCAAGCCACAGAAGAGAAAAAAACACAAAATGAAGACCATGTTTTTGTTTTTTGTCTCCCCAGCCCCGGGGGGGACCTTATCAGACGACGTGACGCCCACTGAGTTCTGTCTTTTTAAAGCCAGTGAGGACATGGAGACCATGCAGGCGTATGCACAGGTGAGTGTTCGCACTCTGACGCTCGGTTTTCTCAGCTGCTTTTACCTTTTTTCTAAGTTAGTAAAAATACAACAACAGATAAATCAACCTGTTTTTTCTGTGACCTCCAGGTCTTTAACAAGCTCATCAGGCGTTACAAATACTTGGAGAAAGGGTTTGAGGAGGAGATTAAAAAGGTTTGGCTTTTTACACTAATATCTTCTAAAACTAATGACAGGTTTAAGACATATTTTAAACTCTTTAATCAAAGTTACATTTCTGTGAATAATCTGTGTGTCTGACTTGTTTCAGCTCTCTGTTTCTGTTTGCTCTCTGGCAGCTGCTGCTTTTTCTCAAGGGCTTCACAGAGTCTGAGCGAAACAAGCTGGCCATGCTAACAGGGATTCTGTTGGCCAACGGCAACATCTCTGCTTCCATCCTGAGCAGTCTCTTCAATGAAAACCTCGTCAAAGAAGGTACCCCCTTTCTGCCTTCTAGGTGTGCTGTGTGGTTGTTTGTAGTTCCACAGAGTTCATAGGTAGAAGGAGTTCACCTGAGATGAAGCCATTAGTATTGAGAAGGTGGAGGAGAACCATGTGAGACCCCCGACTGAATCATAAAATGATCAAAGTTTATCATGTAGTACTTTTGACTTCTTTGCATATCTCCACGTTTTATCTTTCCCTGTTCTCAAAAGTTTGAAGTGAACTATCTCGACACCAACAATGACCAAACATTTCAGTGTGACATCAACATTAATGTGATTACTGACACACGCCTCTGTGACCCACTGAACTTCTTTACAACCCTACAGTCAGGTCTCATGTCACTGGTGTCTGTGGGAGACACAGTCATGCTGTTAAACCCTCTGTAGGTTTAAATGATTGTTTCTGCTCTGCATGGACATGTTCAGATCTTACTGATGAATGAAAATGTTCTGTTTGTTACTTTTGCCTGTTTGATTCCTTCAGTTAATAACAAATCTTTACTGACATTTGTGGGGTTTTTTTCTAATAGATTTATCATTTTCCTTTGATATAAACATTTAAGAGACTCTGTAAAATCACCGTTTAAAAGACTGAAACAGGAAACAGGAAACACTGTCCTGGAAGATCAAACGTCTTCAGAGCGCCTCAGAACAAGCTGTAGTCCATCCAGAAGAATCTAGATTCTGTATCACCAGTACTGGTATTGTCTGCTCAAGTATCTGCCTTATTTTACATGAATGAAGAACGCACAAGGTCGGATTTTTGAATATATGGGATAGGGAGATATTTTCAAACTCACTTTGGCTGACTCTGATATCAGTGACCACAACGATAACAAGTGTTTTTTCTTCATCATTAAAATCACTCAGTGTGTTCTGCTGGAGAATTGACTTGTAAAAAAGACAAACATTTTCCTCTACTTTAAACTTTATCGTGGTGGTGGTGTCAACATGGCTCCTTAGATGAGTGATTGAACTGTTTTTGTGACGCTCCTCTGATCACCTGTGCTGTTTGGTATCTGTTCCCCACGCTTCAACGGGCTTTTCTATAGTTTTTCATCGTGTTCATGAACATATATAAACTTTCAAACTATAATCTGCCAATAATCATGTAGCTTTTTGCACAATATAGTCAATTCTATTGTGCACCTCAACAGTAATGAGTCCTTCAGTGAGCAGTAAAAAGGGGGAGGGCTGTTCTCAGTATATGGAAGCCTGTATGTCTGTGAAGACGACCTCATCCAGGTCATGGTTGTCCAGTTCTTCATTGAAAGGGCACCTGGACCTGTTTGAGGTTCTTGAAGATGTTCCTGCTCTCTTCAGTTTTTAAGGGACCGGGGCCACAGTTATACATTTATCGCTTCTGTTGGGCGGTCACCTGAGAGTCGTCACCAGCTGGGTCACCTGGACTGTTTACATCACAGACAGTATTTCCAAATGTTCCAAAAAGACAAAAATACGAGGTTTTTGTTCTCATCTTATGACTGATCAGCCAATTCGTGTTTCCTAGTCTAGGAAAAAAAATGCAGAAGGCCTTATGAAGTTTTAGTTTGCCCTGTCCTGACAGTGGAAAAAAACCTGTGGATGATTTCAGACTCATCAGAGAGGAACTAAGAGGCGATTTCTCTCGATATACGACCCTAACACACTTCAAACAGATGGGAGGAATCTGTTTCCTTTTTATATCTGCAAACTTTATCTTTAAGATCATGTTCTCTAGAATTGAAATGTATTAATATATATAATATAATATATAATAATATATATATATAGATGCATATTTAATACAGCAGTGGTCTAAACCACTTTAGTTGTGTGCATCATTGTTTTTACAGGCAAAGTTTGCTCTGAAACCTGTCTCATCACATCCTGTGGAGCTGTTTACCCAAGTATTACTCCGGCCCAACTTTATCCTGGCAGGTCTGTTAGCAACAGCTGACTCAAAGTTTGTGAATTTGTTCAGGTGTTTCAGCATCCTTCGCTGTAAAACTCTTCAAATCCTGGCTTTCTGAAAAGGACATCAGCTCTGTAGCTGCCAGTCTCCGAAAGGTTGGCATGGACAACAGGCTCATGGTGAGAAGACGACGTCAACATTAAGTCTTGAGAGGCTAAGATGCTAGAAAGTTAACTCTGTGTGTGTGAATGAAAATTCTCAAAGACAGTGAGATGTGTAGATTCTGCATGAGTTTATTATAGTCTCAAGCTGTTGCGGCTCACACAATTCAGACAATTAATGAACAAAGCCCTTTAAATGCTTTTGGAGACTGGTCTGGCCAGGGTGCCTCAATATTTGACTGTGTGTTTTTCAGGAGCTGTTCCCTGCCAACAAACGCAGTTGTGAGCACTTCTCTAAGTACTTCACAGACGCTGGGCTCAAGGAGATTTCGGACTTTGCCAGAAACCAGCAGTCCATAGGGGCTCGCAAGGAGTTACAGAAAGAGCTTGAGGAGCAGATGTCACGCGGCGACCCACTCAAAGATGTAAGTCAGTTTTCAGCTCCTCGTACTTTAAGAGTCCCCTCGAGTTATCGCACTGTTGTGGTTAACATTGAGCACAGACATTACTGAACAGAATCAATGGAAGTTACTGAAACACACCGACATCAACCACCGCATGTCTGCTCTTATTACTACAAACAAACTCTAGTGAGATTGGATTATCACGCTGGTAATGGTCTGTCTGCTCGGCCAATAATCTGGTTTCATCTGTGTGCCGCGGTCTTACAGATGATCGCCTACGTCCGAGAGGAAATCACGAAGAACAACATCTCTGAGCAGACCATGATTGGACTAATTTGGTCCAGCATTATGAGCTCAGTGGAGTGGAACAAGAAAGAGGAGCTGGTCACAGAACAAGCCATCAAACATTTAAAGGTAACTCCTCTCTTATAGGAATCCTCTGATCCTCGACTTTGCGGCAGTCTTGAACACACACCCAGAAACAAGAGATTCAAAGAAACCTCCGAGTTTCCCTCTGAAATTGTGCCGTAGGGACGTTTTAAAATCCAGGCGGCTCAAGGCTTTGAACTTAAAAGTGAAGATAATTGATTTTCTAACCTGAAGCCAGTCTACCGGCAGACTGGAAGTAATCAGAGAAATATACGGAGTGTTTTCCTCTTCTCTGTGAGGTCCAGAAACCTCCCACACACCCTCGAGTGAATCTTACTGATTTCTGTACAACTCTTATTATCCCTTTTCTACATCCTCAGCAATACAGCCCACTGTTGAAGGCGTTTACCTCCCAGGGCCTCTCTGAGCTGACTCTGCTGCTCAAGATCCAGGAGTACTGTTACGATAACATCCACTTCATGAAGGCCTTCCAGAAAATCGTTGTACTGCTCTACAAAGGTGAGCCTGTTTGTCTATAATCAATCAATCCATCAAATTGATTTATAAAGCCAAAACAGTGTCTAATCTTTCACCGTTAGAAAAGCCAACTTCAGGGCGTCCGTGTGTGACTGAGAACAGACTGCTGGCGTTGGCTAAAGTTAGTCGGAGCTGACGTTGGCGTGCAGCTGCCTCTGGTGTTGTTTTCTGTTTCTGTTTTTTTCAAACACCTGCAGACATGGCAGGATGTCAAACAGAATAATTTATACGTTTCTTCTCTCTCTTTCTCTGTCTCGTTTTCTAAGCGGATGTTTTGAGTGAGGAGGCGATTCTGAAGTGGTACAACGAAGCCCACCTCGCCAAAGGAAAGAGCGTGTTCCTCGAACAGATGAAAAAGTTTGTTGAATGGCTGAAGAACGCAGAGGAAGGTAGGCACCCTCTTTTCCTGACTTCATCCGTCGGTTATCTCAGTGGTTTTTGGGAACGCTGTTTTGCAGTCGTGGTTCTGGTGTGTCTGATTTCCTCTGATGTCGGAGCAGAAACGCTGACTGAGCTTTTCTTTCTTCCAGAGTCTGAGTCTGAGGAGGAAGAGGCAGACTGAGGACCTTTAGCTAGAACTACCATCTTGATTTGTATTTGACGTTACCATAGCATCTCCGAGGTCTGTCTTTGTCTCTGTTTTTCCTTTTCTACTCCCTACCTCCTCATCTCTGGTTAGACTGTAAGGGCTCAAAAATTCTCCATATTTCTGACTTGTTTTCTTTCTCCATCAATGCTTGTACTCTTCTTTAAACCCCTCTGGGGCTGGTCACAGTGCCACATTTAGCTGAGTAGATCATCAGCCCTTTTGGGTAATAAAAGGGACTATTTTGGACGGATGGTTCCCTTTTAAAATTAGCCTGTTTGGAGGCATATTTCACAGCTATTATATTTAGTCATGGAGCTCTTATTTCCCAGAGGCCCATCTGTGTAACCATGATATCTTTCTCCTCTGAAAGGCAAACTGTTTTGTAACTTCATTCCAGATTCTGCCAATCATGTCACAGACTTTTCATTTTTGCCGGTTTTGAGGTTCTGTCTCTATAATCGGTGAAACAAACGTGCCATTTCTCAAACAGCAGTGGTGATAGTCGCATCGGCCCAGAACTCTTTCTACATCCTCTGTAACAGGGCAGTTCTACCATTGTACCGTTTTTCCTTTACCATCCAGTTTGACTTTTTAAAACACATGAAAATAAATGGTTTTCATTACGACTGACTGCAGTAACTGCCACTCTTTGTCACTTCAACACTTCTGACAGTATGAGCATCGTCAGGTGACCTGTCCTGAACGGTAACAGGAAGACGTTTCCGTTTGATATGCAGAGCTGATCATATGTAGAAGTTGGAGTAGAAATTGGGATTACTCCATCATCAGTTTTGTTAGAGATCAACTTGTTCCATCCAAATTTCTATTGGTTAAACTCTTCAGGCCTCACCTAATCGAGTAATCAAGAAAGGCAGCGTGGCATGCGTGACCTGAGGTGCAAACAACCATCTCATTCACCTCGCTGCTATCCCACTTTAAATGGTAATTATGGCTCAGTCAGGCATGCAGAAATGAGAGCGGGACGGTGATTCAGGATGTTATGAAAACGGAGGTCCGTGCACATTCATTACTACCAGACATTTGACAAAGTCTAAAGAGCAGGCCGCTTGTATGAACACTATACTGTGGAACACGTTCAGAATCTTTAGTGCGTATTTAACCTCCGGATGTCTGGAGGGTGAGACCGTCAGAAACTTCATTTTCCCCACAGACCAAAATGTCTGTTTTTTACTGTTGGAATCAGTCAGACTGGGAGTGAACTGAGTGAAGAAACTTCTCTGTTCATAGAGGAAGGAGTTCCTCCTGCGTGTTTGACCCTTTAGTGTTAGTGACACTGATTCACTTTGGTGTCAGTTTCCTAAAATAAAAACTGAATATCAGAATAAAAACTGTCGACTCTTTGGTTTACAGTGACCGTGCTAAAGAGGAAGTTTGTAGGCAGACTGAAAGAGGAATAGAGAACAGCACAAAGAAGGTTCTGGACTGATAATTGGTTTCACTCAGTACCAACAGATGGCAGTAAGTCCTTAAGAGAGGCTGCCTCCTCTTATTAAGTCTCACAGTTTTAGAAGAAAATGCCATTTGAAAGAAACTGGACGACAAAGTATTAGACCTGAGCAGAGCTCTAAAGTATTTGAGTATTTTCTCTTACCTTTCTGTCCCGGGAGGATTTGTTTGGTTTTTGCTTTTATTTAGTCGCTCTAAAGAACATGAAACGATTTGGGAGAGTGACAAGCCGGCAGGGGAAAACACGGCTGCTGTTTAAGATCTGTATGTAAGAGCTCGCACACATTCCAGAGCGTGCGGCTCTGAATGGCAATGATGCCCCACAACACCACCCCTCCCTGTGCAGAGTACGGGCTGTGCCATCTTGGGGAGACTGTTATCTTCATGTTCGCAGCACCGCCTCTGTTTATACCACACACATCCAGAGCTCCCCCTGCACGCCCTTCAGTACCGGCGCTGAGCTCAGTCTGATGGAGGGAGCTGCGGTATAATGAGCTGTGCAGCCCTCGCCCTGACACGTCTGTTTGTTTGCACATTTGCCATTTTACAATTGCACATGCTACTGGATCCACAGAGCATCCCCAGGCTTCCCTGTTTGTTTTCACACAGGTGTGTCTGAAGGCATGAAGGGCTTCGGCATGAGCTGAACATGAGCCGAGTCCAGAGGCGTCTGCAGTCCCTCAGTGACTCTTTCTACATGTTTTCATCTCATCACCACCCTCCAGCAATCACAGGGAAAAGTAATGATTTTGTTCAATGGTGTGAAAACCATGTCAGAGGAAAATGGAGGAACAGAACATTGACTTGAATTATTCTTGAAGAATTCAGTCTCAGTAAGACTTCCTGTCTGAACTGAACAGGGCGACACAATGTGTTGGGGGACGCCAGGGGAGTTGTGGAGAGCAATTATTCTGGATTTCACACTGCGGCTTTGGTCAGTAAACATGGCTCAGACTGCAGTGCAGAACTCATCTGAATAATGTCACCAAACAGAGAATGAGGCTGTATGTCGTTTTTGTAACAGAAGACTTTGGGGATAATTTAAGCTTTCAACCAAAAATACAACCCTCCCCCCCTCAGACCGTGACGTTCTGAGCACAAAGAGAGTGTTTTTGTTTCTGTGCAGAGCGGCAGTGATATGTGTTTGCTTTGTGTCACAGCCCACTTTGTTTCTGGGAGGCCGCTGTAATGCTAAGGCTTTAGCACCCAGGTGAATATGGAAATGAGGATCAACATGTTGACTCACTTAATGTCGCCGGTTTGTCCTTGGATCAACTCATGCCAAACAGCCCAAAGCATGGCCGCCCCCCAACCTCAATGCAGTCATATTATAGCCCACTGAGCACCTCTGTGACAGAAAATAGCAGCTAAGCCCTTAAAACCATGAGGGCTGAAGAGTTTGTGGGTTATGGGCTGACAGACGCTGCTATCTGTCAGCTGTCCCCGCTCAGCTCCTGTTGGTCTCTCTCTCTCAGTCCCTGGAGGAAAAGCTGCCATCCTCCTCACCAGCTTTGTCTGCTGGAGGCAGCCTGAACATCGCTGCCTTTTAAATGTTACGGCCTGGAACCATTACTCTCAAGGTTATTCATCATGTGTCATACTTTAGTTCCAGGAGCAGCTTAATTAAAGACGACATCTATAGGTTTGAACCTGAGACCGGCTGCTGAGGGGAAGTACAAACTGTACAAAGTCTGTCTCTGTCTGTGTAACGTACATATTTGTATACTGTCCTCTTTATTCTGCGGTGTCTTATTGCTTTGGGATAACAGTTTTGACGTGCATGAAGAGGTTCAGGGACAATCGCGGTAGTGCCGTAAGAAGAAGAAGAATTGGGAAAAAAAGGACAGAACGCCTTTTCCTCTGAAAATATGAAGAATACAAGGACCTCCTGCCTGGAACCCAAAGGAACCATGAGAGTACGCTTGTTCTTAATTCTTCTCAAATATCACATGTTCATTCTTGACGTCATTACAGGAAATATCTCTGAATTAATTAATAATAAGCAGAATAGTGACAGAACATGGAGGAACAGGATCTGCTGCTTTAGTGTCCCGTACCTCTGAGAGTCTGAGACACTTCAGGCTGTGTAACACTTGACTTCAGGACTGATCATGTGGCACCTGAGGATCTGACCTACAAATGTTACCTGGAAACTGAAACACATGTTTGTGGTCCTCCAGATCACTCTTGGCCTTTTTTCTAAAGATCCATTGATCTTCATATCCATCGATTTGGCTGAGCAGTAAAAGAAGCTTTTTTTCCTTCCCTTCAGTGTCGGTGAAAAAATCTCCTTTAATATAAAAGTGGAGAACAGAGCAGCAGCATCACACACTGTTCAGATCTTGTGTATGAAGACCGATGCATTAAGAAGATGGCTTTGAGAAGATCAAACATGGTCCTTCAGTTGAACAAACAGAGGGACCATGAAGGTGCAAACGTGAGCAGCTCTGATCCAAACGGTCCGATGTTCAGATGTAGTGATCAGGTGGTCACCACAGTCAGGAATAATCACGTCTTCTCTCCTTAAAAGCTGCTCAGACAGCTTATGAGGACCACACTGAGTGTGTGTAATGGCCTGGCTGTGAGAGTCGAGGGATTTAGCAGTCTGACTTGAGTCAACAGTGAGGCTCATCACAAACATCATTACTTTCTCTTGGCTTGTCCTTGTCCCTCTTCAGTGGCCGGGGTCTGATAGCTGTGTACAAACGACTGGAAGCGAAGGGATGGATGGCCTAGTTTGATAAAGGCTGCTATGGGAACCTGAACATCTCTGAATCCATATCAGAAGGAAGAAGAAGCTCTAAAGATGGTTTGAAGAGCAAACATTATTATCATCATCATCCCCTCCTCATGCTGCTCTTCTTTCAAGGGTTTTTTTTTTTAATCACTGTCATCAGGGTTACAGGCGGGCGCCGGCGGTGCTGTGCAGTTAGTTGGAGCTGTGCAAGAAGTGGAAGGAGAGGGGTAGGCACTTTGACGGCGCTCTCTTGGGAACACCAAAGCTACATCACAACACTTTGGCTGTGACAAACTGAGCTGATAACTTGCAAATGGAATGAAAGTTTGCATCTCCAGAATGTTTTTAACGAGTCTCCCTGGAGAGCGGCATAATGACTCTGGAATGGAGAGAGGCAGCAAGCGTTGGGTCTGCACGCAGCTCTCCAGTTTTCTGTTGCCCGTTTATGCACCAGCAGCTCCAGGGACTCCAGCAGGCGGTGCGAAGACATGAAAACGCCTCGACAAAACTGTTTGTTTTTGTGAGGAATGGCAGAGTGGAGAGGAGGAGGAGGAGGAATACATTTAATATGAAATTACCAGTTTTTCCAGTGATATAGTAAAAATAAAATAAAACATCCAAACAGACAGTTTTTTAGATTTAATAAGCAAAACCTCACCAAGGACAGACTGGAGAGGAAACAGAAGAAGAAGAAGAAGAAGAAGAAGAAGAAGAAGAAGAAGAAGAAGAAGAAGAGTGTTTTCAAGATTGGAGCCTGGTGCTTCAGCCTGACTGAGTCTGGTTTAGAGAGAACACTTCGTCTACGTCCTGAATGAGGAGATTTATTATTGAGTGACTTTACATAGTTGGATAAATTCTTGACTCTATTCAAAACTAATCAGATTTATATGTAAGATGAAAAAATCATGTGAAGGTCGCGCTGTTTTCTGTGACATCTTATGGTTGTGAATCTTTTATGAGACACTTTTCTGTAAAATACCTCAAATTTAATCACTGAGAGCAGAAAGTTCAATTGTTTTTAGGAAAAAAAGGTTTTAATAGGATGTTGGGAAAACCTGCAGCTGCGCTCTGGTTTATCACTTTTTGTAACGGTGGGATTTTAATGTGGAACAAACGCCGACGCCAGTGAACGGATATCTGGTTTTAAAAAACAACAAGAATCAGGTTTATTAGTCTGAACATTAAATGTCTCTGTAGAGTTTTGAACTGACCCGGGTAACAACAGATCCTGATGAATGTCAGTGAACATTAATGATCATAAAACCTGTTAAATTCAGACCGTTCCGCTGTAACAAAGTTCTAAATGAAGATAAAGATCCGTGCAGTTTATCAAGTCTAACTATGTCTGAAACTCACCGAGTCAGAGCAGAGTTTGGAGCTCTGGTTCTTTTCTGTGACCCAGATCCAGATGATCCGGTTCAGAAAGAGTCTTCTGCTCACACCGACCTCTGAGGGTGTGTTGGTCACTTTAGCTCCTCCCCACCTGACTGAACGTTTCCCTGCAGTGAAGGCGTCAAACACATTTTTAAAAACTAACACAGATATTTTATCATCCATGTGTTGATGGACGTGAGTCCAGCTCTGATGTTCTTATATATGAAACTTTGACTAAAGTGTTAAATGTAAAAGATGTCTTTGTGGATTCACGGTGTCTTGGTTTTTAAATCCATGAAGAGACTTCATATACACATGAAACTCATTATTGATGGGTGTCTGTGACTCAGCGGTCCAACGAGAGTGAAAAGGTTTGTGGTTCAATGTCCAAGAAACACTGAACTCAACGTTAGTGACACGGGTATCTGTGTGTAACTGATGCTAGTTAATACTCATAGGTTTCTAACAGCCTTCTCCATCAGTGCGCACCATAGACTGTATATAAGATATATAGTATAGTATAGTATAGTATAGTATAGTATATATAGTATATACAGTCTATGGTACGCACATATGAAAACAAACAGGTGTATGAGACACGTCGTGTGTTGGTGCTCTGAGCCGTCTTTAAACCAGAAACCATTTTCCAGTGACGGATTTCTGAGTCTAAATTAATTTTCTAACATTGTCACATTTTCTAACATTTCAGTTTGACTGAATTTCCCTTCAGGAGTAAATAAAGTTCTTCTTATTCTTATTTGACTAATGTGT